AAAAAAACTCATTATATTTCTATTGTTTTGTAAATCTAATTAACTCTGGCTCTGAGATCTCACTTGACTGAAGAAAGAAAAATTCAATCTCTGGATGTGCTAATCGTCCTCCTTCAGATTGTACATGGGGCTGAGCAGCCACAGAAAACATTTGTCAGAACATCTGGACATCATCATACATGGTTGGTGTTAAGAAAACTCTTGGTCTGAGTCCTCATGGACCATTTGTGGGTGGTGATCATCATACCTTCCATCCCCTGCTCACCCATGTGGATGTTTTTCACAGCCCGACAGTGGTGGTAGTGCTCAGGGCTCAATCCCAGGCCTCAGCGACATACCCTACTTTCATGTTTGCATGGAATGGGACCATACCCCTATGTCCCAGGGCTGCATAGGAATGGAACCCCTTCTCTACTGGCTTAAGGAAGCAACAACTCATGTGTCCCATCTCCAGAAAGGATCCCAGTCCTCCCACCTTCACACCTCTGAACTTGCTCCCCCATCCATGGCATTTACTGCTTTAGGGAGGCAAAAGGAAGCTCTGGATCAAAATCCTCGAAACAAAATGGGATGAGGGGAACAATTTCTCATTCTTTCATGAATGTTAACTTTTAATTTGATTACCCTTCATATGTGCTTAGGACTCAGAACACAAATTATTGAGTCTTCCCCAACTACCCGCCCCACCTGCCCCAAAAGGACAAGAAGGAGAAACATATACAGATGTTCCTTGACTTACCATGGGGTTATGTCCCAATAGATACATTGTAAGTTGAAAATATCATAAATCGAAAATGCATTTAATGCAGTTAACTTACTAAACATCATAGCTTAGCCAAGCCTACCCCAAACATGCTCAGAACACTTACATTAACCTACATTTGGGCAAAGTAATCAAAACCTATTTTATAATAAAGTGTCAAATATCTGGTGTAATTCATTGAATATTGTACTGAAAGTAAATGAATGTCTGTGTGGGGACTCGAAGTACAGTGTTTATTTAAAACATATTACTTTATAACCATGGTAAATCAACAAATTATAAGTCAAATAATCATAAACCAGGAATCATCTGCTTTCCCTACTTTATAGATGAATAGATTAAAACAGACTAACCCTCTGAAATTTGATTTTCTCAACTCTCTCTCTCTCTCTTTTTCTGAGACAAGGTCTCACTCTGTCTCTCAGGCTGGAGTACAGTGGCATGATCATAGCCCATTGTACCTTTGAATTCCTGGGCTCAAGTGACCCTCCCACCTCATCCTTCAAGTAGATAGGACTTGAGAGTGCAATGCCACACTCAACTAATTAAATAAATTTTTTCTAAAGATGAAGTCTTGTCTTGCTCTGTTTCCCATGCTGGCCTCAAGCTGGCCTCCTGCTTTACCCTCCCAAGGTGCTAGGATTACAGGCATGAGCCACTGCATCTGATCTCATTTCTCATTAGGTTTATTATTTATTTATTTTGGAGACAGAGTCTCACTTTATTGCCCTTGGTAGAATGCTGTAGCATCACAGCTCACAGCAACCTCCAACTCCTGGGCCTAGGCGATTCTCTTGCCTCAACTTCCTGAGTAGCTGGGTCTACAGGCTTCCACCACAAGGCCTGGCTCTTTTTTTGTTGCAGTTTGGCCAGGGCCAGGTTTGAACCC